TTAGTGGGCTCGACAGCACTGTGAGCGATTCAACCATCCCAGAGAGCTTCTGAACCGCTTTCGAAGCAGCCATAATCTATCTTTTAAGAAGACCATAAAAACTTGTTTCCCCTTAAACTAAACTTTTTTGACAGAAAACTGAATTCATTGAGTGGCTCTCAAAATAAGATTGCCACCTCCTTCCGCAGGTAGGGACACACTAGCACCCATTTTTACACTGTTTTCAAGTTCTTAGGTTAAGCTTCTGGAACCACAGCGACACATAGGCGCCTTCTCGTCTTGGAGAACTTGGGGAAGAGGGCACTGTGCAGCGGGTCCCCAGTGACAGTCCACAGGACCCTGCTTGCGAGGTTTCTAAGAAGAGTTCAGTTCTGAGTGGAAGGGGAGAACCCTAGCCAGAGGCTTCATCGGACGTACTCTCAGACAGTTTCTGGCTTTGGGTGTCTTTGCTTTATCAAGGAGCTCAACCAAAGATCTCCAGTGTACAAACTCAACTATTGGCTTCCTAAAGACAAATGAATTCTTTTTTCATTCCTGCCTTTTATTTCTTTAATTTTTTTTAAAAGGAAGTAAAAATAAATAAAAACCAAACAACAACTGGATGGAAGAGACTGCTGGTATGTGGCACACTGTAGTTTCTCCTCCCGCATGGGTGACCCTGTTTCCCGTCTCAGGAGACCTCCTTAGGGTGAGCTCACATGGTAGTTGTTTGGTTGTCTCATCCAATTCTCTTCAAGGAGTACCCAACACAGCCCAGGGAGCAAGGGTACCAGCGCAGGTATTTGCTCCTTGGCCCTTTATCCTTCTAATTCTCAAAGAATCAAGCCTCAACAAAGTACAGCGTTGCTCCAGGCAGGTCGCTTCCTTCATCCTGACAACCACCACCCTACCTTCTTGCTGGTAGGCTTCTTTCTCTATTCCCAGGCTGTGTCCCACTCTGGCCCTAAGCCTGGCAAGCTGAGGCAGTGCTCAGGGCAACGTGAAAGCCGCTCCCACATTTGAAGGCAGCCGTAGCCCAGGCCTGGGAGCTGTGCTTACTCCAGCCGTTAAGAGACGCTTTTCTCAGAGCCCCGCACAGACCCTATGACGCTACACCATCCAGCTCACTAGTGCTGTGGCCTGTATTCAGATGTCCCCCCAAAGTCTCATGCAGCCAGTCACAAGAGGAGGTTCGCAGAGCTGACTGGGTCTAGTGTGTGTGTGATGCCTGGACTAAGGATGTGATGCTGGCCCTGATTCATGGTGTGAAGCTAGATTAAGGGGGCCCCACCCTGCTGTGAGTGCTACTTATCTTTAGGGTATGCAGCCTGGACAGACCACAAGGGACAGAAAGAGGGTTGCTTTTATTGTGCCCTGTCGCTAGCTGCTTCTCTGCTGATCAGCACGTGCTGCTCCCTTGCTATTTTGCTGCCCTCTACCCACCCCACCAGGCATGGCTTCTCTTCTGTGAGGCCCCCCGCCATGCCGCCCTGCCCTGAGCCAGTCAACTACGATCTGAAACCTTTACAAATGGTGAGCTACTTAAACTTTTCCTCATTTAACTTTGGGTGTTGAGTATTTTATTTTAGCAATGAGAAAAGTAAGACACCTAAGACATAAAAACTTATTCTGCAATAATGGTATCCAACACTAAATATTGAGTTTGGAAGACAGGATGCTCACCTCCTGAGGCAGCCCCTCTCCCCCAGCATGCCGCCTGGAATGAGCGCCAAGGCAGAAGAGCAGCAGGCAGTGTGGAGCACCCCATCCTCCACTAACAGCCTTCCTGCCACCTGTACAGGCCACTGCACTTCGGATGCTGTGCTGCATATGGGCCTACATCACTCCGAGGAACCGTGAACAACCCATGGTCCGGTTCCCAGGACAGCAGACTGTGTTCTTCCAAAACCATCACCATCACAGAACCTGCTCAACTCTTCACTGCGCAGACAAAGGTAGAATGGTGGCAAATGACTGAGAGAAGGAAGAGCCAGGGCTGACAGCTACAGAGAGACAGGGAGACCAGGAAAGGTGAAAGCATGGAAACTCGTCCCTTGAATGAGGGATACTGGACAGAACGAAGGCTCCAGAGCTAGAGGGCAGCATTTCTGGCTATCAGACGTAAGAACAAAGCTGTGGCTCAAGCTCAGGCAGGCTAGATGAAGTTGCTAGCTACGTGAATGGGGCAGAGTACAAGTAATGAGTATCAAAACAAAGGGCCAGCGAAATAGCTCAGCAGACTAAGCCTACTTAGGCAAGCGCAGGGACCAGGGTTCAGTCCATGGCACCACAGGCCATAATGGCCACAACCATGGGACGCTGAGCCAGCCACCAGGACCAGGCGTGGTAGTGTATGCCTGTAATCCACGCACTGGGGAGACTGAGACAGGAGGATCAATATGAGTCCAAGCTGCATACTGAGACCCTGTACCAAATACATTAAAAAAAAAAAAAAATCAAAACAAAAAAACAAGAATAAGCAAATTGCTAAAACAGGTTCAAAATCAAGGGACCAACAGCTGTGTAGAAATGGAAAGGGGTCCGGCAAAATAAGAATGGCTAGCATTAAGATCGTCCTAGATCACAGGTTGCTGAACAATCTTCTAGAGCTGCACAACAAGAAAGCAAGCAACTGAGACATGGATTGATACACGGAGGAGGAGGAGGAGGAGGAGGAAGCAGCACTAGCTGGGGGAGCCAAGACAATGGAGAGCGGGGCTGCACTGAGGCCACTCAGTGTCCTTAGGAGCACTGGAATGCAAAGTGGCAGAGCCAAACTGGGCACTGGACCTGCAAATAGGAAGATGCTCAGTGTGGTCCAGCCAAGTTCCCAAATGAAGTCCTCGCGGAGACCCTGCCGAGAGTAGGAAGACAGCCTGGCAAGGTGGAAAGAAAGTATGATTTAGAATCACAGAGCCTAGTAAGCTCAGTTCTGTCTCTTACTAGTTGTGATTTGGGGCAGGTTACTGAACTACCCTGAACCTCCATCTCCTCATCTGAACACGCAAGCTGTCGATGGGTTTTGCAAGACACTGTGTCATAAGGTTTTGCAGTAATTAAATTAGAGGAAACCCAGTACATGACCAGACCCAGTACTCAACAAGTGAAAGGCACTGTTATTCTTGCAAATAGTCATAGCAGTGCATTAATGTGTTGAAATGCTCCTTACATGTATGACTTATACTAACAGAGATGGACCTAGATCACAGGTTAGGCAACCCTAGATTTAACAAGCTAATCTGTCTGGTAACATCTGAAAATCCAACCACAAGACAAGGTTGCTAAAAAACGACTTTTCAGCTTTACTCCAAACTCTGAGGCTATGCTGGTACGTTGGGTGTTATGCTGCACAAATGAAACCATCCTAGCTCTGTCCTCTTTCCTCCCTCCCTTCATTTATGGCCAGCACTGACTGTGCCATCCTGGAAAGTACTTGGGAGGGCATCAGCCCTGGCACTGGCCACATTTTCATTTTCCTTAGGAAGTGGTACACACTTAGTACGGGGTGGAGGATGTTCCGAACTTGAGGAAAAGGGTAACAGAAGAAGCTGGATGTGGTAATCTGCATACCAGGTCCTATTTGAAAATCTCCACATTTGTGTAGGGCTTCAGCATCGCTCCCATAAACTATCACATTCAAGAGTAAACACACCATGCATGGCTGACAGGGAAGGAAGTGGCGCTTGAGGGGTTCAGGTAAGGTACTGCAGGCCACACACCATGGAGCGGCAGAACCTGCCTAGAACCGGGGTCTTTGGGTGTGCGACCCACTGCTAGCTCATTGTAATTGTTCTGTAACCTCCAGGTTAGTACAGCAGAACATTTATTTCTTAAAATACATTAATATTTGATATCTTCTTACTCAAAAGCTCGAAGTTCTTAAGTAGCTTGCTCTTGGAATGGTTTTGATTTTGTTAACATTATGAGTTTTGAATTTATATGTGAAAAAGTGATCTCCTCAAATCCAACAATCATTACGTAAATTGATGTTAACATCTTCATTTAAAGTTCTCATGGAGAAATAAATAATACGTGCAATACATTATGTAAGAAAATATTTCCTTTCAAGTAGTAAATTATTCACTTCAGTGCCCTCAGAGATACATTATTCATTACAAAAATGCCTTTATGAGTAAAATCATATGGTGCTTATTTGACAGTTTAGGGTTCGATGGGACTTCACATTTAAATTGTTTTAAACTGGAACTTTTGTTTCTTAAAACTTAAGAAAATCATTCAGTTTTATGTGAAATAAATGCTCTATAAAAAGTTTATGTTGTTTGACAGGAGATATGTCAAAATGAGCCAACTACAGAAATCTATAGCAGACCATATGTTATTTATTACCCAAGGTGACATTTCAAACTCAAGAGGCACTTCCGCCACTTTCAAGTCTTTGAAGTTTTGTTGGCGGGGTATCTGGCAGTGGTAGTTAGGGTACTCACCACCGACTTTTCTAGATGGAAGTGAATGTCCAACAGGTGCATTTTTACCAGCAGATCTCTTTTCACATTGCTCGATACCACATCGAATTTGTAGTTACAACTATACATTTTAATTCCCTTCCTCAGAGTAATTACTTCATAGCTCATGTATTTTGTCCTTACACAAATTTTTAGCATTGATTTTTTTTTTAAAGCAATGAAATGCCTAACAAATAAATTTCATTTACCATTTGCCATCACGTAATGACACTTTGTTCTCTACAAAACTGAGCTAAGTGAAGCTTCTTGAATCTAAACAGAAAGAAACAAGTTTATCCCAGTAGAAGCAACAGGGCTGAGGGCAGGGATGTAACTCAGTGGCGGAGTCCTTTACTAGCATGTGTGAAGCCTGTGTTCCATCCCCAGTACTTTATTTATTTATTTATTTGGCAGGACTGGGGATTGAACTCAGGCCCTTGCAGGGAAGCGCTTATCCCACTGAGCCATCTCTCAGGCTCCCATCCCCAGCACTTTAAAGAAAAAATAGGGTTTTATTCCTTTGTCCTCTCACTCTCCCACGCACATGCAGCCACTTACCGAGGGGCAGGAAAGCGAGGCGGTTTCCGGCCATGGAGAGCTCGTTGAGGCTGGGCAGCTGGCAGAGGTGGCGCGGCACGTTCCAGAGCCGGTTGCGGTCTGCAGTGAGGATCTGCAGAGAAAGGCACAGGTGAAGCCTCTCGGGTAGAGACAGCAAGCGATTGGTGGAGACGTCAAGTGTCTGCAGCTCCTTCAAATCACCGACCTCTATAACCAAAATCAAACATAAGATGAATTGCATCCCAACAAACTTAAAGAAAACAAAACAATGAATGCAGTGGCTGGAACCATTTCTCTAGACATAAATGCAGAAGCACTGAATTTGGGGCTGGAGTTCAAATAGTCCAGCTTCAGTGAGGGCCTTTAATTTGGCCTGTCAAAGAATTCGAAAATCAGGACAAATGCAGACATGGAGGAAGGAGAGACAAAAAGCAATGAATCTGAGGTAGAAATCTGTCACTAATAAATCGAAAGTCATTGCCGGGGTGAGAAAACAATGACTGCAGTCACCTCGAGGTACATGGTTCCTGCTACGTGATTTACTTTCTATCTGAACAGGTAACAGGAGATTTGTAAGTTATACCGTCCAAGCAAACACAAAGTGTTCTTATAAACTGGACAGAAGGCTTCTGAATTAAGAACTAGGGTGTCCTTCGGAAATAGACACCACTGCGAAGTATCTTCTAAGATGAAATTATCATAAGTAACGAGACACTGTCCACCATGTAGCTCATTTAAAGAGTCACTTGAAGTGTTTGTATCCTGTGAAGACTAAGCTTAGTTCCACCCAGATTAAATCCTTTTATTCATTCCAACTCTCATCACTGCCGTCTAGAGCTGCAATCTGTTCCTTGCTGAGCACGAGTGTGCATTTGCCAAACCATTAAATCCTGAGAGAACACTGGGAAGTTCTCTATAAGGAGCATAGCTTTCCTCATGGAACACTGTCATTTTAGGGGAAAGATATTTAGTCTGTGCCAGGACAAAACATTCTACTCAAGGCTCTATGTCAGCGCCGGGTGGGGCAGGCCCGCTTCGTCCCCATCACGGACGCTGTGTGCTAAGGGCCACGATGCTGTCCACTACTACCCCACTCCAACCCCGGCCCTTTCCTCTCTGGCTAAGCTTTCCATCCTCCCAACGGGCTGCAGCTCCGGGGCACGTTCCAGGTGGGTTAGGACTTGGTATGAGCAACAGCAGCATCTTCTCTATTGACCAAGACCATATATGGCCTGAAAAGCCTAAAAATATTTATTATCTGGGCATTTACAGAAAACATTTTCTGTCCTTGCTATGTACTCACTGTAAGTTAAGAGCACTCTTAATAATTAGTGCCTAAAAACTGAAAGTAACATAAGTGCAGAATAAACTAATTATTTTTTCCAATTTCTAAATCCCCAGATAAGTGAATTTGAAGCAACACATTTCTTACTAAATCTGAAGTGAAAAGACATTGCAAGGAAAATTAGAAAGTATGTTTGAGCAAATAAAAACAACCAACATGAGATAACAAAATTGGTGGAGCACACAGTAAGGGAAGTGACAAGCAGGAGACCGAAAGCTTTAAACATCCACATTAGGAACAAAGTTCTCAAAGTCATTTCTTAACCTTTCACTTTGAGAAAGGAGAAAAAGTAAAACCTCAGCACACAGAAAACAAAAGAGAAAATGAAAATCAGTAGAGTAATGAAATAGGAACTGAAAACACATCATTAAAAAAATTAAAAATTCTTTTCCCTCCCTCCCTCCCTTTCTTTCTGGTACAGGGGATCAAACTCAGGACCTTGCACTTGCCAGGTAGGTACTTAGGCCACTGAGCTATCTCCTTGGCCCTAAAAGTTCTTTTTTTAAAGGATAAAAATGGGCCCCTGGGTGAGCGGCCCACGCAGCAGGCTGGGGATTGAAGCCCAGTCCCTGAGCCCACTTAAACAGGCACTTCAATCTGCTGAACTATCTGGCCAGCCCTTCAATCCCTAGGACTGAAGGAAAAAGAAATCTACCACAACATTCAGGTGGCAGCACTTATAACACAGAATATGAGTAATGCCTTTGCACAAAGGATGCCATAAAACTCGTGAAGAGAGTGAGACTGCTTAGGGCCTGCGGATCCTGAACAGACCCAGAGCCCAGGCCCAGCGTGTGAGTGAGAGGACCCGGGCTGCCGGACCCTGAATAGACCCAGAGCTCAGCTCCGGGGTGTGAGTGAGACCATCCAGGGCCCAAGGACCCTGAATAGACCCGAGCACAGGCCAGGCATGTGAGTGAGACCACCCGGGACCCACTGGATCCTCATTTGATCCAGAGTACAGGTCCAGCTTGGAACCCTGCAGCAGAACTCCCTGCAAAGAGGCTAGAGGCAAGACCCACCCAGCTGATTAAGGAGCAGAACATCTTGCCAGAGTGACACAAAGGGTTCAACTCCAAGGGCTGCAGCAGACAGAAGTGGAGCACAGCAGCCAGACCCAAGCCACACCCACCTGGCGAATCTGAACTTCGTAGACCCGGACCTGGTGCTAAGGTAATAACTCTATTCAAGCTCTTCACCAAAGGTCAGAAGACAGTGGTATACAAAATGACAAAGAGAAGGAACAACGTGCAGTCTCAGTCCCTGAGTCCACCCAGTACAAATGCAGAAAACACTGAGGAAACTGGAAATCACACACCAGATATCTCTGAAATAATAATGTTGGAAGTAAAAAGTCAACTGCACAAAGGCATAGAAGAAATCAGATTAGAAATAATTTCTAAACTAAAAAATGTAGTGATAACTATAATCAAAGAAGTACTAAGTGCTTCAAAAGAATACACTGATAAAAAAAATAGAGCAGAATATAAAAATGATAGAACCCCTGAATAAGCAATACAGGAAAGAAATAGAATGTATGAAATAGGTTCAAAGTGATATACAAGAAATTAAAACCTCAATCACAAGCTGGCAAAACTGTTTGAAAGTGAAAATAGACTTTCTGACCTTAAAGACACTATTGCAGCTAGTGAATAAGAAAAGATCTCTTAAAAACAACTAGGATGCAGGAAAAACTAATTCAGTACCTGCAAGATAATACAAAAATGAACAATGTAAGACTAATAGGCATCAATGAGAAGGAAGGAGTCCATACAAATGACATAAAAAGAATATGGGCAGAAGTAATAGCAGAAAACTTCCCAAATATGGGGCAACAGTCTGACATTCAGGTAACTGAAGCATATAGAACTCCAAATAACATCAACCCAATTAAAACCACACCCAGACATACATCAAGCTCCCAGAAATTCTGCACGGGAACAGTATACTAAAAGCTGCTAAGGAAAAGAAATAGATCACATTTAAAGGAAAACCCATCAGAATAACAGTAGATTTCTCTTCACAAACCATGAAGTCAAGAAGAGCATGGAACAAAGTACTTCAAGTCTTGCAAGAAAACAAATTCCAACCCAGACTGATATACCCTGCAAAACTCTCTTTCAAGTATAATGGAGAAGTGAAATACTTCCATGACAAAGAACAACTAAAGAATTTCATGATGACAAAGCCAAGCCTACACAGACTACTAAATGATGTCCTAGAGAGGGAGCAAATTGATCACAGTCTCATGAATGAGAATGGAAAGAACCCACCAAATAGGGCAAACAATTAAACACAGGACGATAAGAGGTATACAATAGTAGTCTTTCAGTTATTCTTTTGTGTTCAGCAACAAAATATTTCTATCAGCACACTCTACAAATGGACTTCTCTTCCACCCTATGGGTCCTGATTCCACTTGAATCTACAGGGTGGATTTCAAAGAAACAGCTATAGCTCAGTCCCACAAGTGACGCCTGGCCACCAGTAACTGTCATGGTCATTATGCATGTCCACAACACACTAGAACTTTGTGAGATATTCTATCCTTAAACTGTTAGAAGTGCTGGTCATTTACTTGCCATTCCAGTATTTATCTTATGTTTTACTCTTAGTACTTCTTTGCTATCATGAAAATTTTTTCTTAGTTCAATTGTTTTGAAACATTTAATTTTTAATTAATTAGTATTTAATTTTCTGAATATTGCTTAATCTTAATTTTTGTTCTAAGATTTATACTATATCTTTGACTTACAATTTATTTAAAAGATATCATATGATATCTTCTCCTAGTATAGAAACTTTAAAAATTATATTTCCATTTTCTGTTGACTTTATATTACTTCTTCCGTCTTTTATACACACACACACACACACACACACACACACACACACATACATAAAAAATACTTTATAACCCAACATAAGATTGGCACTGTTTCATAGAAATCTGCAATGGCCTTTAAATAAGGTTCATCTAATATATGTTTTATATAGTCCTGCATAACTATCATATTGAGAGCTCTTTATTGTTCATCCAGGAGCATACTGCAACTTCTCTTGCTCTTTGAATTATGCTCTTTGTTATTTCTTATATACTACTTCTGGAGGTATTAAAATATCTCAAGTTTCTGTAACTAGAAAATCTTACTTCTAGTTTTCAAAGATGTGTGCTAAGTATAAAATTCAAAGAGGACAGATCTTTTTTCATTTCTTTCAGTCCTTTAATTAGTCTAGTTTCTTACACACTTGGTCCTTTTTTTTCCTTTCTAATGTGGAATAAGGTGCTATTTAATTTTGTTCTTCCATAGGTAATATTTTTTATGTATCTGCTTTAATGCTTTTTTTCCTTACAATAAATTTTGGACAATTTCAAAAAATAAAAATAAACTCGTGAAGAATTCTGTATTTTTATACAACCAGTGGTCTCACGGAGATGGTAAGGAAATGATTTAAGTTTGAGATTGGTGCTACAATGCCAAATCTAATTTGATTTAAGCATTACACAGAGTATATGTGAATTAAAACATCACTGGGCACTCTAAAATAAAATAAAATAAAATAAAATAAAATAAAATAAAATAAATAAAATAAAAGATAAAAATGGACAAACCTTTGGTTAGACTGCCCTAAATGAATAAATGAATATATAAATGGAATGAGTGAAGGAATGAATAGAGAAAAAACGCACAGACTGCCATGCTTGGGAAAACAAGAAGGGATTATCATTACTAAATTTATGGCAGTACTATGGAAACAGGTGTGGAGATTCCTCAAAATTTAAACATAAAAATCCTATTTGACGTAGCTACGTCCTTCTAGGTATCTTCTCAAGAGCCAAAGTCGCCGTATTTCAGGAACA